CAGCCCCTGCCTCTAGATAATTTATCACTCAACTGGTCAAACCAATCACCTAAAAATAATTGATACTCAGGCCAAGAGCCTGCCCAGCTCGGTCCATCAATCCTAACCACTTTTTTTTTTTTTAAATGCTGTTTCTAAAAATCTTCCAATTTACTTTCAAAGGTAATGCATGGAGACGGTTAGCAATTCAGGAGACGAGTAGAAGTTTTCTGGAGAGAAGATGACAGCAGAAAGGAAGGAAAGGGGAAAACGGAGCAAACTCCGTTGGAACAAGTGACAGCTGAACTGTGGAATCAGAGCAGGTGGAAAGCACTGGGGGCACAGGGAGGCCAAGGGATGGCCCCGCTACTGGGCCCCCGCCCCTGGGATGTCCCCCCAGAACAGTAATGGTTACCTGACTGCAACAACTATGTGCTGCCTGTGTATCCCGGAGAGTCCTAAACTCTTTTTTTTTTTTTTTAATTGAGGTATAATTGACAAATAACACTGTACTAGCTTCAGTTATACAACATAATGATTCGATGTTTGTATATAATGGGAAATGATCTAAACTCTCACCTGAAGAATTTTGCCCGATCTCAATCACTAAAAACACTTCAACCCAAACCCAAAACCTTACACATACCTACTCCTGACCTATCCCTTGTGAGACATTACTGAGAGACCTCAGGTGGTGGTCTCCCTTACTATAATAAGTATTAAATTTCACTGTTAGTCAACAGATTGTTCAGGAAGCCAGCTGGGGCAGTCTACACTGCAAAGGCAGGTAAGTAAGTTGCTGAAGGTTAGAGAGGAGCAGAGCCAGATGCTGGTCCAGGCCTTCTGACACCACGTCCAGTAGCTTACGTGAGAACGAGGGGGTCCCTGACCATCACCTCCTCCAATCTTTGAATTCTCAGAAAACTGGGGACTTAAATAATTTACCTATTTACACAGCCAGGTCTCTAGATACCCTAGATCAGGGATTTGTTTTATATTATTTTATTATTTCCTCCAAATATTTGTTATTTTTAAAAAGTTATTTCTAAGACACAGATATTTCGTAATATCCTCCTCACATCCCGCTGGATTTAAAGTTTATGGGACTTCCTTCCACCTGCACCCACATCAGGATACACGCCCACCTGGGACATATTTGCTCAAAAGGTTCAGCCGAGGTTATCTTTCTCTAAGGAGACCTTCCTAGAATGCCCTCCTGCCTCCCTGGGGAGGACTCCTCTGCTGAAACTAAGGACAGTAAGGCTATGAAAAGACAAGACTCTGGAAAATCACGAGAGACAGAGCACTGAAACAAGTCTCTGCTTGACTTCCTTTCTTCCATATCAAAGCAGATCCAGTCTTCATCCACGAAGGCACGGAAACTGCACCTCCTTGTCTCCTTCTTTCAGAGTCTCCCTTTCAAAACATAGATGGTCATGGGAGAGGCCATTTCCCCCCCAGCTTCACGGAAGGATAACTGGCAAATAACGTGTAGATATAAGGTATACAACACGATTTGAAGTGTGTATATCCTTTTTTAAAGATTAATTTTGTTTAGTTTTTAGAGAGAGAGTGAGAGTGTGCACACAAGATGGAGGGGTGGGGGGGGAGCATCTCAAGCAGACTCCCTGCCGAGCACAGAGCCTGATGCGGGTCTCGATCTCATGACCCTGAGATCATGACCCAAGCCGAAACCAAGAGTTGAACGCTTAACTGACAGAGCCACCCAGCTGCCCCTGATGTGTGCATATATTGTGAAAAGATCACCACAGTGATGATAATGAACACATTCATCATTTTGCATAATTATGAATTTTTCTGTGTGTGTGGTGAGAACATTTATAATCCACTCTCTTCTCAAGTTTCCAGTATGCGATACAGTACTTGCTAACTAGAGTCACGAGACTACACATTAGGTCCCCAAATTATTCAGCTTAAAACTGAAAATATGTACCCTTTGATCACCATCTAGCCATCTGCCCCACACCCCAGGGTCTGGCAATCCCCAATCTACTCTGTTTCTATGAGTTTGACTTTTTTAGATTCCGCATGTAATGGACATCATACAGCATCTTTCTAATTCTGACTTACCCAGGGACACTGTAGTTGAAGGAGCAAAGAGAGTTCTGAGCCTAGGGAGGAGAGACTCCCCAGGGAGTGAGAATACCCCGAAAGAATGGTAGAAACTTCTCCTTCTTCCCCATTTTGTGTAGGGCTATTTGCCCTGAGATGACTGTAAATGTTCTCCTTTTCTTTCTTTTAAATTCTCTTATCCCTTCTTCTTTCCTTTTCTTTTAGTTCTTGTTGCTCCTTGGAAAACAGCAGAGAAGAATGTCCACGGACCCATAGACGTGGGCCTGATCTATTCCTGACCTTCTTATTTATGGGTTACATTATAATGCGGGTATGATATTATTACTGTATTATTAATATATATAATATGGCTACTGCTATATTATGAGTGAAGAAAGATAAGACGCCCAAAGAAACTATCAGTTTGACATCTTGTCCTTAATTCTTGCAGACACTAACGTAGCACCAACAGTGAAGCCATTTTCATAGGAGAAAAGAGCTAAATGGCTTTTCTAAAGATTAAATTTGTATTATTAAAAAAAAAATCTTAATTTTTTTTTTCTTATTGTAGCTCTTATTTCCTGAGATTGCCTGGGTAACAGTTCCAACATCCCAGGGAGATGCCTCTCATTTGGTGGTGTTCTGGGCTATCATAAAATGTTGACGGCTCTGGGTGCCCCTGAAACTACACAATTATTGGGCAAGTCTGAGGGCATCCCTGTTCCCTGATGGTCTTAAAAATTTGGCTCAGGCATGCCCACAAATTTTCTCTCTTTCTCTCTTTTTTAAAATTTTCTGTTTTTAAAACCACTGCCGTACATTTAAAAATCAACAGCTGAATTTCACCCTCACAATGTTAGTTAGCAGTAAAGGATGTGATTTCTGGCACTATCGTATCTGCGTTTCAATATGACTCCGAGGAAACACTGGAGAGTCTTATCCATCTAATGCATTCACTTTTATGACTTCGGGCACCAGGAAGTCAGCTTTCAGGGTCAAGCCGATGAGCCAAATCTGTGAGAAAAAGTCTGACTTTGTTTTTCAAATCATATAACACGTTAACACAGGCCCTTGAGACACGCGTGTTGTTCCTAAGGCCTATCCCTGAGGTAGATAAATTCTTGGAGAGAGGTTTTCCAAAAACTTGTCACCTGGATAGACAATAAGACAATAAGGGTTGCCCTTCTGGAGAAAGTTGTGTGGGAACAGTCCCTGTGTTTGTCAGCCCTGATCAGTACGCACCACAGTTTCACTTTCCTTATGTGTGGAGGACGAGAGCCTCACCTTTCTTTTGTAAACTAGAAGGGGACTAAGAAAAAGATGGCAGGAAAGGAAAACTGGAAGACCAAACTTCAGAAAGAGTTCATTGGGAATCGAGGTTCTAGAAGTGGCTTCTTCTAACTATCCCTGTCTGTCTGCACTGTGAAAGTCTCTGCGAACCCCCAGGCACATTCAGGAAAGCAGTTATCCTGGGGAGGTGAGCAATGTCATTTTGGTTCCGAATGTGGCAGGCAGACTCTGAACATGGGCCAGAGTATTACACTCCCCTCATGCGTCGTTATGGATTTGAAGCTGAATTCTCTTCCCTGTGAGTGCGGCTGTGGGGCTGGACCGGCACACGGGCTGTCTTATGTGAACAGGGCGGGGGTCTTCAAGACGCTAAGGATTGATGCTGCCAGGAATCTGTCTACTATAGTAGTTGCAGCTTGATAAAGACCCTGGAGTACCACGCAGTGTTCAAGGCCGGCCCCATGCCGTTATCTGATGGCAACTGGGTTGAGCCAGTTGGAAGCAAACTGAAATGGGGACACAGGGTGTTACACATTTGCTGAGAAGTTTTCCTTTCTCTATTTCAACCAGACCTCTTCCTTTCATCTTATCATATTTTGTGGTGACCATATACAAGCCCCGGAAATGGTTATTCTCTTCTCATAGAAGATACTCCAATGCATACTTGTGTCTATGCATGAAATGTCAGCCAATAAAAGAATAAATACACAAAATACTGTCTTGACTAGTCAGAATCATTTTTGGCATACGCATTTCGGGTACTGTCGTAAACTCAAAATAGTTTCTCAACCCATATGTATTAGCCTTATTCCCTCATTACAGTTTTCCAGGTTATAGAGTTACACTGGCAAAAACTTGGATGCCTATTCCTGGAAGAGACATAGAGTAGAAAAGAAGAGTCTATCCCCTTCCCCTCGGCACAAGTTGGAGGGAGCGTCCCAGTATAAATTCATCCATTCACCTTGACAGCCATTCTCCTTCCAGCCCCCCCCATATTTAGTTGTATGATTAAACATTTCCATGTAATAAGTCTGCCAATAAAATTACATTCCAAATGCTCATGCATTTTTACAAAGATCACATTACTTCATATTATGACACAGTCTTCTAAAATACTCTTAAGTGGCTAGGTTGATGTTTCTTTTGGATACTTTATCCAGACAGGTTTAAGAAAGTAGCATTAAAATTACATGTTTTTATAAGCATGTTAAAATGGATGTGCTTTCGATTCTTACAGATTTTAAATACATTTATTTTTAATAGATTAATAAGTCATTGTTACTTCTAAAAAGCTCACAGTCTTATCATTTTCCCCTTAGTTTGTGATTTGTCCTTCAGATTTCAGAGAAGACATAAAACATGCAAGATAAATATAAGTAATTTTCATCTTTTTCGTAAATGTTTATACTTACAATTTATGTGTAAGTGCATGAAAAAAAGAGAAATGCACAACTGAGCTAATAAAATGTTACTATTCTAGGAAAGATATTAATGTTGTGTTTGACATTATTTATAAGTAAACAGTTACCTAAATCTACTTTCTAGTGGAAAGTGTATGTCGAATCTCAGAAAATTAGCTCATTAAAAAGAAAGAGTTCTTCTTTGTTTAACGTAATCCCACTTGTGTTTAAATATGTATCAATGTTTAATGGTGTTACCTTAAGATTTTAGTGACTGCAGTCTCCTTTTCTAGAAGATTCCTTGCCCTGATGCTGAAAACGGACTTGCGAAGCTGAAAAATTACAAGTGTGACTTTAGTTTTGGCATGTAAAAGGATAATATGCTGACAAATCATTACATACATAAAACAGATAACACTATTAAAACATTGAACATAAATTTTTTTCCACTAAAGCACCATTATATGATTAATTCTATCACTTATTTTTTTTAAAGATTTATTCATTTAGAGAGAGAGCACAAGCAAGAGGGGCAGGAGAGGGAGAGAGGCTCTCAAGCAGACTCCATGCTGGGTGTGGAGCCCAATGCAGGACTCAGTCTCAGGACCCCAAGATCACACCAGAGCCAAAACCAAGAGTCGGATGCTCAAATGACTGCACCACCCAGCCACTCAGATTCCATCATTTAATTGTATCTTCTGTTTTTACTTTTATGTAGGCAGAAATGCAAACAAGCTTGTGGGGCCACACATCACAGCTATAACGTCTTAATCTGAATAGGCTTTTCAGTGTCCAGAGAATTTAACATTAAGACAAATATCGGACTCTTTCTTGCCACCATCCAATAAAATGTTCTCTAAGCCACTTTACACCTGCTCAGGTTCTTGGCCTGGGACCCGATACTAATCTGAATGATGAGTTCAAAGAGTTGTTTTGCCTACAGGCATGGAGACCAAGGAGATGAGCTTTCAAGGTTGTTTCCTAGTTGGTGATGATGAAATTATTCCAGGGAAAAGCACTAAGAAAAACAAAGTCCTGGATGCCGCCTACAAACCAGAAGATTCTCCAAACCCAGCCCTGTCCTTCTTGATGGTTGCGGGATCAGAGGGGTGACAGATGTACTGAGAACCAAAGTGGACAAGAACAGGACAGAGAGAGAACAGGAAAACATGCCATCCTAAGAAAATTCATAATAACAAACGACTAGAAAGTGTAACTTCAGTGGTCAGACCAAAGGTAATCCTCGGACAACAACCCGGTCATCTTGATAACTAGATTAGGTTAGATTTTCTAAGCACTTAGTATGTTATTAGTAGCTATTAGAGATATGGGTTAGCCAGGAATCAGAATTCTAGCTTACCAGAATGAAAAGCCTAGTTACAAAGGCAGGACTATGATGCATGAGGCTACCAGTAAAAAGTAGACAGTAAAGTGCTAGATGATATGTCCAGTAGAAAAGATGAGAAGGCTACAGGACTATACGCATGTCTGAAATAGTCAGCAAAGACGTATTGAAGGAATAGAAATTGCACTGACTTGAAAAATGATTAAGTCTTCCCTAGCAAAGGGGGGGTATGGGCCAAGAACAGTAGTTGGAAATGCATGCATGGGGCAAAGTAATCTGGGGCAGACTATTTGCATAAGTGTTGAGCTACGGGGAGGAAACAGTGTAAGGCATACTGTGTTTCTAACAGATTTGAGGGAGGAAAAAATAAGCAGGAGATAGAACCATCTGCATTCAGTAAAAACATACCATCCACTTTCTTTTGAACAAGTTAGTGACTTGAGGTGCAAAGTCACAGAGCTCCAATCTACAAACAAATAAGCCTATAAAGAAGTTGGCAGTACCGCCAACCCCTGTGTCCACCTGGCCACAGCTAGAGAGGAAGCGGTGGGTGCAAACTGGTCTTCTCAGTCACACCGGACAACCTACGAGCACCAGAACCAACACTATAATTTTCATATTTCACAGCAGATCTGCATTAAGGGAAGGATCATTGGACCCATTGGCCATTACCCTCATATGAGGAAAGATGGTGCCCTCATATTTTCTCAATAATGAAAAACTGGGTTGGTTTCATTATTCACCAGAACTCTTGGAAGAATAAATTCATATGCAGACAAGGAGCTAAGAGTGAATGGCATTTTCCAGAAATTACATTTTCAGGGTAGTGCAAGAAAGGCTGTTTACCATGATGCATTGTGAAACTTTCTTCCGTCTCCTCCTCTCCCCTGAGGAGGTGACTTTGGGCATTGATTTAACCTCCTAGAGCTCACAGCCCATCTCCCAAGGGATGTTATTTAAAGTCATTTTCAGAGACCAAAGACTCAGCAGAAGGATCCCATCATGGCTGCATTTTTGCCTTTTGATACCTAAGCACACACATAATCACAGGAAAAGCCCAGGTCACAGGGGCCCCAAGAGAGCAGGTTCTAGGAGAGGACTGGACTCCACTGCTCTTATTTCATCTCTGAAGGACACTGACAAGCCTTAGTCATCTTTCCCTTGGTGTGAGGTGTGAGGTGCGAGGTGTGAGGTGATGGTCTGAATTCAGTCACTTATCTCCTGTCCAGTAACTGAAGAGCGGACACTAAAGGCGGTGTGTACTTCATGTTAGAAAAACCTCTGCAGAAACTGCAAATAAATGAATAATATTTATTATATTGATCCAAAATTATTATTTCTGGGCTGCCTACGACTGCCTACGAAGGGCTGCTGGCTCTCTTTTGTTCAAAACTTGAACTGGCTCAAATAAATTACACTATTAACCTGTACGAGGAAGTCCTTGAGAACTGTTTCTGTAACAGCAGAAGTGGCCAAAGAATAAATACTGTAATAGAAAAACTTCAGATACAGCCTCAAGATTGACTGACTGATTTTTTTAAAGTAAGTGCCATACCCAACATGGGACTTGAACTCAGGACCCCCAGGTCAAGCTCCAGTTTTAAGATGTCTATCTGTATCTATGCACATTTGATAGCCTGGACATGTATTTAGACAGTTATATATTTTATCTGTTCTTTTTTTTTTTCTAGTAAATAAAGAAGGCCTATAGCGATTATCTACTATCCCTTCAGTGTTTTTTCTGCGGTAAAGCTTTGCACATTTCTGCAAAGGACAAGGTCTGCGAGTCCCAAGTCCTTAGAGCTACATTGCTCTGCAGTGCCCTCTTCTGGCTCCAAGGGATACTGACAGTCACCTGAACTGATCAAAACAAGGAATACAGAAATCAATTTTGGGATAAGTAATTTTAGATCTGAACTTTTCAATTACAGCTATGGAAGGTGTCAGTAATGGTTTCTTCTGGATATAAACATGTCAGATACGTGGGACTTAAAAGGAGGGGTATGGATGACGTCCCAGGGAGTTTGCACTGGAAAAAAAAAAAAAAAAAAAAAAGCCTTTTTGGTGGTTTTCTTTAGTTTCTAAACCTAATACATCCAATTCCAGAAGACAGCCATTCTCTGGCTGGATTAATGATCAAAAAATAAATGTAAATGTTCAAGCAATACAGAGAAGATTTTTTTTTGTCTTGAAATTTTAATTTAAAAAATGTTTCTAGAACGGTGCACTTTAACGTGAAATTCAGGAGGTTCAAATTTGCAGCTCTTTGTGGTTGAATAACTTGGAGCTAAAGGACCCAGCAATGGTAGATCTCGCTGATGTTCTGGCAATTTCTTTGACATCTTTTAATCCATAGGTACTCCCTTTCCCCCTCATTGTTGAAGGACCTGGGCCATGTGACCTGAAGTTTCCGGGAGTCTGGATTTTCCCCAGTGCACACTCCTGGCATAGTTCACATATTCCTCTGTCTTCTGGACTTCCTGCTGATTGACAGCTGGGCCCAGAGTCTCATCAGGCTCACAGCTGATTGCCCTGGCAAGTCCACAAGTGGTGGCATAGCCTTTCATCACAAGGCAAGTGATGTCCTGTTGTTCCACTTTTTGTGATGTTAAAAGTACTGATGTTTGTTGTCTAGATCATGGATTCATTCAGTGAATAAAATTGCCATTTCTTTCTCATTCATTAGTTGAAATACTTGCATAATAAAAGACTTCCTTTCCTGTACTATTTGGTTACTCTGCAGTACAATTCACGTGGAAAAGGTAGGGTACATGTTGACTCTTTACCTTTACTTACTCATTTTTATTTAATTAATCGATTTTCTATTGTCCTGTGAAAGGCACCCAATTAGTAATTTTAAAATGTCATTATGAACTCAAGGATTTACATAGATTTGGTTTCATTTCATTACAGTCATTACCTTCATGTTAGATCACAGTATCCCAATTGCTCATTGGGAATTTTTTCAAGATGGCCTATGGGTTTTTTTTTGCCCCGACTCTAGTAGTCTTTGCCCAGGTTTCCTTGTTGTTAGGTATGGCAAGATATCCCAAGCTTGTCTTCTATATGCTTTGTATTCCATATGAACAATTTTCTCCCCAAAGCCCTGGCTTATTTATTGAGAAACTGGGTTTCGAGAACATAATTTAGATGTTAGGGATATTGCTACTGAGTTGGTCACTGTTTTGAGGCCTGTGCCTGAGTTTATTCTGATATTTTCAACTTAAATCAGGACACAGGGTATTTCCCACATCTCTTCTATATGACATCTGTGTCTCTTCTGTATCTACATCCTCTCCCAACCCCACATTAAGGCTCTTGATTTTCAAGTACACAGAAGATGACACACATTAGACTATCTGATAATAACTTATTTTTATTTCTCATTTCATGGAGAGTAGTCTTATAATTACACTACCTATTCTAACATAATATAGTTAATGGATATTTAAAAAGTATTTCAATATAGTCTTCCCATTTTCCTCTTATTTCTACACTTGCACTATACTCATACTGGCAGAGCAAATAGCTATTACATATTTTTCTCTTCATTTTAATCCTCATGTAGTCATAGTTAGTCATCCACTGTTTAAGAACGTTTACCACCTGCTCTTATGTCAAGGTCGTAGAGTCATTTTTGGAACTCACTGTGGTTGTCCGAAGCATGCGTTCTCATAGTTTCCTCGAGAAAGGCTCATAGGAACAACATTACTTACATTTACGTTGTTTACATTCCTACATCTTAATAGAAGTTGTTTTTCTTTTTTCCCTTTAAACTTGAGAGTCCATTTTCCTGGATATTAAAAAAACATGTCTCACATATTCTCTTGGGTATCCTATAGATGTGACTCCAATTTCTCCTGACATAAAACATTCTTGCGAAAAAGTCTGATGGTAAACTAATGTTCTTTCCTTTACACATCATTTATTCATTTTGAGCTGGATGCCTATTTGTTTTACATTATTATTATTATTATTATTTGGTTT